ACGGCGCAAGCGATTACGAGGACTACGGCGACGATGACGTGGATGATGACGTGGATGAGGAGGAGGACGAGGCGGAGGAGGAGGAGGTGGAGGAGGACACGCAAGGGGGGGTTGAGGAGGAGGAGGAGGTACAAGAGGCGGATACCCCGCGAGGTCGCGACAGCCAGTACAAGGCGCGTCGCTGCCTCCCGTAACTCCGCGCCGCGTCACACGCGCGTGATTTCGCTACTCGCTCTCGCTGCCTGCTGTTCCTTCTGACACCTCTTTCCCCTTTGCTGCCTCTGCTCTCTCCCTACCCCTGCCATAACGCTGACACCACCAACGGGCGCGCGAATGCCGCCACCGGCCCCAACCGATCCCGACCGTTGCAGGTGCTGTCCGAGGCGGACATAGTGCGGAAGCAGGCGCGGCTGGTGCGCGAGATCGTGAGCTTCCTCAACGTCTCCGAGTCCGCCGCCGCGCTGCTGCTGCGCTCCTTCAAGTGGAGCGTCAACCGCGTCACGTGAGTCAACCACGTCACGTGAGTCAACCGCGTCACGTGAGTCAACCGCGTCGCGTGAGCCGCGCTCTCTCTCGCTGCCGCTCCCATCCGCCACCCCCGCTATCACCGCGCGCTTCGCCATCCATTTCGCGTCATCTCTCTGCGCCTCCGCGCACCGTGCCTCCGCGCGCGGTGCCACCATGCACCGTGCCTCCCCTGGTCTTCCTCACCGCTTTTTCCGCGTCCCCTCTCAACCCTTCTCCTATCTCTCCCCTGAATGTCTCCACCTTGTTCTTCCCGCCCCCCCCGCTCCCCCCCGCTTCCCCCGTTCCTTCCACCAGCGACGCGTGGTTTTCGGACGAGGAGGGGGTGCGCAAGCGCCTGGGGATCTTTGCGCCCGCCTCCCCGCGGGAAGCGTCATCCTCCGCGGCTGTCCCCGCTACAGTGCGCTGCGGTATCTGCTTCGACGACCATCCCCTCGAATCGACGGTCGTGATGGCGCTGTGCGGCCAGCACCGCTACTGCGTGCCCTGCTGGCAGACCTACGTGGCATCCGCCATTGCTGACGGGGCGGGGTGCCTGTCGCTGCGCTGCCCTGCGCCCAAGTGCGGCGCAGCAGTGGAGGATGCGCGCATCCTCGCGCTCCTCGCGGACGCTGCTGCGCCCGCCCAAGGGGACGCGCTGGGGGAGGGGCGGGGGGAAGCGGGGGCGGAAGGGGACATGTGCGCCCAGGAGAAGGGGAAAGGGAAGGAAGTGGAGAATGACAGGGGAGGCGATACAGCAGGAGCAGCAGCAACAGCAGCAGGAGAAGGAGGAGCAGCAGGGGCAGAAGTCAGTTCACGTGAGGCTGCAGCCCCTGCAGCTGGTGGTGCGTGTGGCGCTGCTGGTTCGTCCCAGAGTGTCGGGCGCGGGGGCAAGGCGCGGAGGGTCAAGGGCGCGCCCGCTGCGCCCCTGCCTGCCGCAGGTGAGCCCGGAGGCAGGGAGGCTGTGGGCTGTGCCTCGGGCGCACATGGCACAGCAGCAGCAGCGGCGGCGGACGCAGCAGTGCACTCAGCAGCAGCAGGGGGGGCAACGGCAGCAGCAATAGGCGGAGCAGCAGCAGCAGGGGGAGCGGGAGATGAGGGCAGCGGAGCAGCTTTTCCGTGCGGGGCGGGGGTGGCGGCAGCAGCGGCGCAGCGGTACCGGCGGTACCAGCTGCGGTCGTTCGTGGAGGCGAGTGAGAGCGTCAAGTGGTGCCCCTCGCCCGGCTGTGACTTCGCCATCCACTCCGAAGGGGGCGCGCCCACCCCCCGCAACCTGCCAGGCGCGGGCGCGCGCGGGGGGAAGCTGAAGGGGGTGATGGCGGAGGAGGAGGAGGAGGGGGGCGGGGGGGGCGGGGCGGTGTGGGGCGGGAGCAGGAGCCGGGACGTGCGGTGTGCGTGTGGGCACGAGTGGTGCTGGCACTGCCTGCAGGAGCCCCACCGCCCTGTGGACTGTGAACTCGTGCGCAAATGGGTCGTCAAAAACAGGTCCGTGACCCATCCTGCCACTGGTGCTGCTGGGGGCACTGGGTAGGGGTGGTGAGGGAGGGGGTAAGCAGCTGGGCACGGGGCTGAGAGGGCGCTTCACTTTCCGTCACATGCACATCGTTTTCATCCCATCGTTCCCATTCCCTTTTCCCAACGTGGTGTGCGGGCTTGCAGTGCGGAGTCGGAGAACATGAAGTGGATTCTGGCGAACAGCAAGGCGTGTCCGCGGTGCCAGCGGCCCATCGAGAAGAACCATGGGTGCATGCACATGACGTGCTCGGCGCCGTGCCGCCACGAGTTCTGTTGGCTGTGCCTGGGCGACTGGAAGGAGCACGGTGAGGGCACCGGGGGCTTCTACGCCTGCAACCGCTACGAGACCAGCAAGAAGAAGGTGGAGGGGGTGGAAGGGGGAGCAGCAGGGGGATGGTAGTGTCTGGCAGAGGGAGGGAGGGGAGGAGGGTGGTGAGGGGTAGTGGTGGTGGTTGAAGGCCGACGGGGAGGGGGATGGGGTGGGAGAAAGTAGGGCATGCGGAGGAGCTTGAAAAGCCTCGAAAAGCATTTTCTTCTTCCATCCTCTCTTCCCCCTTCCCCTGTCCCCATTTCCCACCCCCGCAGGGCGAGTACAACGTGGAGGAGGAGCGGCGGCAGCGAGCGCGGCAGTCACTGGAGCGGTATCTGCACTACTTTGAACGCTGGGCCAGCAATGAACAGTCGTGGCGCCGCGCCCAGGAGAGCCTCAAAGAGGTGAGGATGGAGGGAGAGAGGAGGGGGGAGAGGTTGGAGGTGAGGGGAAGCGACAGGAGGTTTGATTGAAGAGGTGTGGGAGGAAGAATCAGACAGGTATCCATGGAGCCCCGTTGACATCCCACCACTGCGTGCCTTCAACTATCCCACTTTGCCACCTAACCCACTCACCCTTGCCCCTCACCTGTGCTGTGTGTTGTTGCTCCTTCCTCTCCTCTCGCAGGTGGAGCAGCATCAGGCGGAGCAGCTGAGAGGGCTGATGGGGCTGCCAGCGGCGCAGATGAAGTTTCTATCGGAGGCGTGGCAGCAGATCATAGCGTGTCGCCGCATGCTCAAGTGGACCTACGCCTATGGCTTCTACCTCTCCGACCACCAGCCCGCCCGCCGCAACCTCTTCGAGTACCTCCAGGTCTGTCGGTCCCAGGTGCCTTTGCTGTCAGTAGCGAACAGGTGCTTTGTCTCCAGGCCAGTCCCAGATGCCATGCCTCCAGGTGAAACACCGTGCGCTTGAAAGTTAAACCCAGTCATCTTCAGGTGAAACCTCAGGTGATTTCAGGTGATCCGTCAGGTGACTTAAGGTGTCTCCCAGCCGCATGCTCGAAGCTGGGCAGCCCTGCTAGCAGTGTCCTGTGGCGGAGCAGCGGCCTCATGTCATCCCCACCAACCATCCAGTGCGCCCTCCCCTCGTAACTCTCACCCGCTCTTTTACCCAACCTCTTTCTCCCCTCCCCCCCCCCCCCCCCTCACCCCATGGGCATTGCGATTGGTCGAGCAGGGCCAGGCGGATGCGGCGTTGGGGTGGCTGCACAAGGCAGCGGAGAAGGACGTGGAGGCGTTTGTGCCGTCCCACTTCAAGGGCTCCTTCGATGCCCACGCCGCGCCCTCCCCCGCCGCGCTCTCCCCGCAGCACCGCCTCTCTGAGTTCCTCGCCTTCCGCTCCCACCTCACGCGCCTCACCGCCGTCACCCGCACCTTCTTCCATAACCTGGTCACCGCGCTTGAATCCGGGCTCTCGGAGATTCCCGAGGACGTGCCGAAAGGGGAGGGGGATGCAGGGGTGGGGTCGAGCAAGGGTGGGGGAGGAGCAGAGGGCGGGGAGGGCGAGGAGGGGAGGAAGAGGCGGCGGAGTGGCAGTGGAGTGAACCATGTGCATTTCGCTGATGGGGGGGTGGTGGGGGATGGGCGCGGGGAGGCGAGGATGCGCGTGGATGGGGGGATGGCGGGAGGGGTGAGCCTTGGTGTGGCACAAGGCGTGGTGGTGCAAGGGCAAGGGCAAGGGCAGGGGCAGGGGCAGGGGCAGGTGGTGGGTGGGGGAGGCGCAGCAGGGGAGGGGGAGTACTGGTCGTGCATGCACTGCACGTATGGCAACCCCACCAGCGCTGGCAGCACTGTGTGTCGCATGTGCCACCTGCCCCGCCACCCCCGCTGATGCCCTCACCTCACCCTCGCGCCTGGATTACCGTATGACTCGTGAATCGTGATTCGTGTCCTGCATGCATGCATGTGTGCATGGGGAGGGACACTGGTGCTGCATGGTACATGCTGTGTAGGGCGCATGTGAAAGAAACGTTGTGGGTGTTGATGTATTCAAGAGCAGTGTACTATGTGTATCACTGGCAATGGCAGTGGGAGAGCATTGTAAGGAACTTCCGTAATCAACAAGAAGTAGATTTTGCATGGCAGGAAACCAAATCACATAGCTGGTGGTGCTTGTGGCGTGAGAATGGGTGGCGGGAGGGCTTCTCTGTCCTCCCTCCTCGGTCCCTTGCCCGCTCGCACATCCATTCAAACCCACGTACCGTATTCACAGCCAGGCCAGGGCCTATGAGCAAGCCAGGGCCTATGAGCAAGCCAGGGCCTATGAGCAAGCCAGGGCCTATGAGCAAGCCAGGGCCTATGAGCAAGCAGTCGTCAACACAGGGAACCTAGAGACTAGGACAGGCCGAATCCGTGTTATAGACTGGCTAAGATAATCTAGCTACGGTATTGCACAACACAACACTCTGTTTGGTTGCAACCGTGGAGTGTATGGGTAGGAGGAGGGCAGCCGCAGAGGAGTGGTAACGGCGGTGCAACAAGGAGCTGTGCAGCGCAAGGCATGCGCAGACAGGTGGCAGCAGGCGCACAGCAACGCGCTGCCTTGGCCCCTGGTGCTGGGTGCAGTGTGGTGTAGTGGGGTGAGGGAGATGCGTGGGGTAGTGGTGCGTGGCAGTGGCACCACGTAGGGCGATGGAGGAGAGACACCCGTGGAAAGGCGAAGGGAGATGCTAGCATGCAGGTGGAGGGGTTGTGAGAGTGGGTGTGAGGGTGGTCCATTGACGGAGACGGGAGGTGTGGAGGTGAATAGGTGGGAGGTGGGTGGGAGGCAAGTGACTGAGGAGGAGGCGAGGAGGCGAGAGGCGTAGGAGCAGCATCAGAGCAGGGGCGGCAGCGAGCCAGGACTCAACGCGGTGGTCCTCCTGGTCCGACCCCGTGACGAGCGCTAAGAAGTCCTTGTACTCTATCTGCTTCGATGCCAAAACCCCGCTGCCTGCTGCTGTGCCATCTGCGCCATCAGCGCCCTCTGCCTCCACTGCACCCTCTGCTTGAAGCGATCCTGTCCCATTGCCCTGGATGCATGGAGGGGGGAAAGCACAGAGTTGGGCTCAGGTTGCGAGTCAGGTGGAAAAGTAAGGAGTGCAGTGGAGAGGCAGCGCATGCATGCGTGTGGAAGGGGCAGCGATGAGAGGCAAGGAAGAGGGTCGCAGAGTGATATTGTCAAAACGAATGGTGGTAGAAATACAGCGCGCAGCAGCACGAATGGCATGGGGAGTAGCTCACATATTCAGCGGCGGTGGCAGTTGCAATGATGTCGCGCATCTCATCCAGCGACCCCATGCCCAGCCGGCAGCACACCGCCGCAAACTCCTCCACGCTCACCGCTCCCGACCCATCCGCATCCATCTCCTGGAAGGCCTCTTGGATGGCGGCGGCATGGCGGTCGCGGTGCAGCACAGTGGTGGCTGCGACAAACTCCGCGTACTCTATGCTGCCACTGCCGTCCATGTCCACCTGGTGGGCCAGGGGAAGGGTGTGCATTTGCCATGTGTAAGGAGTTAGAGACCACCAGAACGATCATGGGGAGAGTGGCATGTGGAGAGGTGCGAGGGCAAGTGTGATGGCACGGTGGTGGCTGCGACAAACTCCGCGTACTCTATGCTGCCACTGCCGTCCATGTCCACCTTCATGGGTGCATGCCCGCACGCACAGAGCCACTTTTCCCATGTGTAAAGAGTAGAGGGCACCAGAATAATCATGGGGAGAGTGGCATGTGGAGAGGAGCGAGGGCAAGTTCATGTACACATGGTTATGTGACTGTGCATGTTCAAGATAGTGTGTGGAGCAGCACGCACGAAGGCAAAGATGCGGCGGATGTCATCGTCGCTGAGAGCCGCCCCCACGCTGCGCAGGGCGGCTGTGAGATCCTCCAGGCTCAGCGCGCCCCCCTGGTCCGCCCCCACCGCACTGAACACCGCCCTCAGCTCCCTCTCCTGCTCCTCTGGCATGTGCCGCGTCGTCACCTGGGGGGAGGTGGGGGAGAGGGAGTGGGGGTGGATAGGATGGGCGCATGAGGTGCCGAAGGATGGATGGATGGGTGTGGCAGAGACGAGAGGAGAGGTGAGGGCGGGGATGGGGATGGGCAAGAGGGGAGCGCACAGGTGCGTGCACAGTGGGAAGTGCAGTGGAGGAGGGTGGAAGTGTGGGGCATGTGGCATGAGGCAATGGGCGGGGGGCGTGACTGACGAGGAGGGCGAGGTGGCGCAGTTTGGACATGGCGCTGAGTCGCTTCATGCGTGGCAGCATGATGCTCTCCAGTGGCCGCTCCACCACCTCCTGCCCGCATATCCATGGGTCGCCTGCTCATGGGGCACGGTGTGGCGTGACATGGGGTGGCGTGGCATGGGGTGGGGTGGGATGCGGTGGGATGGGATGGGATGACACACGGAGGCATCAAGGCAGGGAGTGCAGGGAGGGAGAGCAGTGAGTGAGCAGTGCGACAAAGTGGGTGACACAAAGATCACAGCACAGACAAGGTCAGCACAGCTGCAAGGTGTGCCACCACCCACTGCCCACTGCCCACTGCCCACTGCCCACTGCCCACTGCCCACTGCCCACTGCCCACTGCCCACTGCCCACTGCCCACTGCCCACTGCCCACTGCCCACTGCCCACTGCCCACTGCCCACTGCCCACTGCCCACTGCCCACTGCCCACTGCCCACTGCCCACTGCCCACTGCCCACGGTCCATGGCCCACTGCCCACTGCCCACTGCCCACTGCCCACTGCCCACTGCCCACGGTCCATGGCCCCATGGCCGCACCCAGCAGCTGCTGTGCAGTGGGGCGTCTGGAGGGGTCGCGATGGAGCATGCGGGAGAGCAGCGCCTTGGCGTCCGGGGAGATGAGCGGCCACGGATGCACCGACAGGTCCAACGGTGCTGTGCGGATCGCCTCAAATATCGCCAGCACTGAGTCTGATGGGGGGCAAGGGTGTGGGGAAGAGCGGAGGGGGCCAGGACGAATGTAGCGGGGGTGTTGACGAGAAGGAGGGGGCATGAGGGACTGGGGGGAAATTTGTTCGACGGTGGTGGGTGTGGTAGGAGAAGCGGTGAGACGAGGTTCGGTACGAATGGTTGACAAGACAAGTGAGGAAGAGGAGGTACAGAAGAGCGCAAGAGAGAGACAAATTGACGGGGGGAAAGAAAAAGACCAGAGTGGCAGGGGAGGGGGGCAGCATGGCAGGGGATGAGAGAGCAGCACCTCCTTGGAAGGGCGGTGTGCCAGCGAGCAGCGTGTGCAGCATGATGCCAGCGCTCCACACGTCACACGCGTGCGAGTATCGCTCCCCCAGCACCTCCGGCGCCATGTACATGGGACTGCCCGCCATCGCCTCGAGCTCCTCACCTGCTGTGCCGCCCGTGAAAGCGGAGGAGAAGGAGGGACGGGTGAGGAGGAGCAGGGGGCTTGGGCAGTGAGAGGAGGAGCAGGGGGCTTGGGCAGTGAGAGGCGGAGAAGTGGAGAGAGGAATGGAGAGAGGCGGGCTGGGGCATTCGGGGCAGAAAGGGAAGAAGAGGGAAGCCGAGGGGGCGCAGGCTCGGGCTCGGAATGAGGCAGGTCTCCGGGGCAGAGGGGAAAGGAGAGGGGTGTCGGGGCGGGCGGGGCAGGTGTGACCTGGTTGGCAGAAGGCAGCGGAGCCGAAGTCAATGGCCTTGAGTGTGGCGTGGTCTGACTGGTCGGAGAGCAGGAAGTTGCCGAGCTTCACGTCCCGGTGCACTATGCCCAGCGCATGGCATGCCCTCACCACCTCCAGCACCACCCTCATTATCGCTGCTGCTGCCCGCTCGCTGTACTCGCCCTGGGAAGTGGGATGCGAGGAAGGGGGTAAGAGGATGGGAGGAAGAGGAGAGGGCAGGCGTGAGGGGAGAGGGGGAGACAAAGAGAGGATGCAGGTTCACAGCAAGCGGGTGGAGCATGTGGTAGGCACAGCTTGAGATGTGGATGCGGGCAGGTAAGGAAGGGGAATGACAGCTATGGCAGGAGAGCATGGGCACGCACCTGCTGGGCGATGTGGTGGGTGAGGGAGCCCCCTTGACAGAGCTCCATGACGATGTGCACGGCCGTCTGGTCCTCAAACACGCCCTCCATTCGCACCACGTGAGCATGCCCGCGCAACATGCCCAGCACCTGCACCTGGAGGTGGGGGGAAAGAGAGGGAGAGGGGGAGAAATGGGGGAAAACGGGCAGGGAGCAAGGTTGGCCGGGGAGAGCGCAGAGGAAACGGGGGGAGGGAGAGGGCGTGGGTGACATGGGAAAGTCGAGTCCAGCAAGGAAGCCCACCTATTTATCCCTCCCCCCTCCCCTCTCTTACCCCCCCCCCTTCCCTTTGCGTGCGCGTACCTCGCGCTGCACGTCTCTTGCAGTGCCTTCCGAGTGGATGGTCTTTTTAAGAATGCTCTTAACGGCCAGCCGCTCGCCCGTGTGGCGGTGCGAGCACGCGCTGATCACGCCGCTCTGCCCGCGCCCAATAAACCCGCCCAGCTCGTACAGCTGCTCCAGCCGCACCGCACTGTACCGCTTCCCCGTGATCGTCCCCACGTGGTCGCTGCGCGCCGTGCCGTCCGCCGCCGGCCAGCCGTCCCCGCGCCACGACGAGTCCGCGGAGGCATAGCCGCTGGTGGGGCGCCGGGCGCGGGGGAAGGAGATGGGGAAGGCGGAGGAGAGGAACGACGATGCCGACCGGTTGCGATGCCGGTTGCGGTTTCCGGATAGATTGCTGGCGTCGTCACCTGGTCGCGTGACGGCGCGAGCGAGTCGCGCGGGGAGGGAGAGGATGCGCGAGGCGAGGCGGTAGGCGGAGCGGCGGGCGGACGGGGGGAGCGGAGTGATTGGAGGCGTTGGCGGAGTGGGGACGGGTCATCGCATGGCGGAGAGAGCAATGCGGGGAAGGAGACGCGGAAAGAAAGGGGCTGCGCGCGATGCGGGGAGGAGGAATGTCCTTGGAGGAAGGATGGGCGAACAGAAGGTGGCTAACGGACTAACGCGGCACGGGTCTACCGATCACCACGCACCGCACCGCACCGCACCGCGTCGTGGTAATTATCTACCAAACTTTCCCCAACCTACTCTATCGCGACTCCCCGCACCGTGCTGCCAGTCGCGAGGCACATGGCGGCGACACCGCCGTGGCGGCATGCGCCGAGCCAGAACCAGAGTATTTTGCGGCGAGGTCGGATAAAGATGCGCGCGACGAGCGACAGCGCGCGACGACTGTTTGGCGACGAGAACGGCGGGAAGGGCAGTGGAATGCGCTAGAGCCGCCGAAGTGTGCGGCGCGTGTGGGTAAACGCCGTCCGGTCGTCACTCTTGTTATCGTGTTGACAGTGTCGCTCTGAATAGGCTTGTTGCGACCTGGTGCGACTGCTAAAGAGGTGTCAGGCGACACGAGGTGGAAAGGGGACGAAGCAGTAAACAATATCGAAGCTGCAGAGTTTTTTTGACTTGATACGCCCAACAGTTCACTTGCAGCGTTTGATAGCTGTACATTATACTACAACATAACATGTTCTAGTAGGTCAACACTGAGCTGAGGAATGGACGCACGCATTGACCGTAGGACCTCCACTTAAAACGCCACAACCCCTTGACTTTGCTTAAAAACTAAATAAAAATATTCCCTTTCGAACATGTGCCCACGGGCAGCACTGATGGAAAATCTGCCATGTGGAGAAGCAGAGCACAACAGGCAGGCCCAAGCAGAGAATTAGGCCCCCGCAGGTTGCGTGGGTGCACCTGCCGCACTAGCAGCAGCCTCAGCTGCAGCCGCCGCCGCAGCAGCAGCAGCAGCGGCAGTGGCTGTTTTCGGCACAGAGGAACCCGCAGCACCATCACCCGCCACCGCAACAGCGGCAGCACCAGCCGTAGCAGCAGCAGCAGCACCGGCCTTGTTCCTAGCAGCTTCCAACACAGCCTTCACCTGAGCGCCAGTGAGCGTCTCCCTCTCTAACAGAGCCCCCGCTAGCGCATGTAACTCCGCCTCGTGATTCACCAGGATGGCTCGCGCGTTGTCATGCGCGCGCTGCAGCAGCGCTCGCACCTCCCGCTCAATGGTCAGCCGCGTCTCCGTGCTCATAGACCGCCCGTCGTCCTCGTAGTCATGCGCCACCACGCCCACCGCCTCACTCATCCCATACTTTGTCACCATCTCCCTCGCCAGCCGCGTCGCCTGCACGATATCACTCGACGCACCGGAAGTCACCTCCCCCGGGCCGAACACGAGCTCCTCAGCCACGCGCCCCCCCATGCACACGTCCAGCCGGGCCAGCATCTGGGTGCGAGACACGCTCACCTCGTCTGTCCTCCGGCAGCTGCGCCACCATGCCCAGTGCCACACCCCGCGGCACGATGGTGGCCTTGTGCACGGGGTGCGCGCCGGCGGTGTGCACGGCCACCAGCGCGTGCCCGCCCTCGTGGTACGCCGTCAGGCGCCGCGTCTGCGGGGAGATGACGGCGGACTTGCGCTCGGCGCCCATGAGGATGCGGTCCTTGGCGTGCTCCAGGTGGGCTAGCGCTACGGCCCTCTGCCCCTCCATGGCTGCCCGCAGCGCCGCCACGTTCACCAGGTTGGCCAGGTCTGCCCCGCTGAAGCCCGGCGTGCCGCGTGCGATGACTGACACGTCCACATCATCTGCTCGGGGGATCTGGGGGGGGGGAAATGAGGAGAGAGGGGAAGGGGGGCGTGACGGGGTTGGGGGTTTGAGGAGGAGAGTGAGAGGGAGGAGAGGGGGGAGGAAATGAAGGTGTGCATAGACAGCTGGATGTGCCTCATCACACTTCCCTGCACCGATGCACACAGCACCCAACCCCACCGCACCGCACCTTGCGCAAATGATGCTCGAGAATCTGCCGCCGCCCCTCCACATCCGGATTCGGCACGACCACATGGCGGTCAAACCGCCCCGGGCGCACGAGCGCCTTATCCAGGCTCTCCGGGAAGTTGGTAGCCGCCACCACAATCACACCCTGGTTCTGCTTAAAGCCATCGAGCTCCACGAGCAGCTGATTCAGAGTCATCTTCATGTACTGCTGGTCCTTGGGGTTGCGGCTGCCGCCGATGGCGTCGATTTCGTCAAGAAACACGATGCACGGCGCGGCTTTTTTTGCCGCGGCGAAGAGCTCGCGCACGCGGCGCGCCCCGACGCCGACAAACATCTCCTCGAACTCGGAGCCCGACGCATAGAAGAAGGGCACGCCCGCCTCGCCCGCTATGGCGCGCGCTAGCATTGTTTTGCCTGTTCCTGGTGGGCCCACCAGTAGCACTCCCTTGGGTAGCTTGCCGCCCAGCCGAGTGAACCGCTGCGGGAGGGGAGGCAGGGCAGGGGGCATGTGAGGTGGGAAAGGATAAGGATGTGGGACAGTGGAGGAGGAGGAACGAAATTGCACGGATTGACTCGGCAAAGTAGGAAGAGACTGGCGAGTATGGGAGAGTGCAGCTGGATTGGGTTGAAGCACAGAGGAGGAGTGCCAACATAAGAGCGAGTAGTGCACCATCTTCCCCAGCTCCGCCTTGGCCTCATCGTGGGGTATGCGAGGCATGATGAGCGAGCAGTAACGACTAGCAAGGAGCACAGAGGAGGGGAGGGGAGAGTGAGAGGGAGTGCAGCACCTTGGGGTCGCGCAGGTAGTGCACGATCTCCTCTAGTTCCGCCTTGGCCTCATCCACGCCCTTCACATCGCTGAACCGCGTGTCACTCTCCGCTGCCGGCTGCACCTCCTCGTTCAACCCCAACCCTGCCGTCCACGGGGGAGAGAGACGGGGGGGAGGGGGGTGGGATTTGGAAGGAGGAGGGGGCCAGTGCGGATGTGAGACGGAGGGATGGAAGGAGGGGGGGAGGGGGGATGAAGGAGAGGCATGTCGAGGCAGGTGCTAACCAATCAACTCGTGCTCATCGCAAAGAGGACATGCAGCGTGCCAATCACACTCACATCCACTCACCCCATCACCCCTCCAGATTCACGTCCCCCACCCCACCCCCTCGTTCCTCCTTCCCCAACCCCCCACTGACCACGCCCCACGTCGCGCTCTCATAGATGGCCCAGAGTGTGCCAAGGCAAACCACATCCACCCATCCCATCACCCCTCCAAACTCAATGTTCCCTTCATCTCAATCCCTCCCTCCCCCCCTCCCCCAACTGACCGCGTCCCACATCGCGCTCGCGGGCGATGGCCCAGAGAGCGCCGAGCACGAGGGCGGCGGTGCCCAGCGACCTGAGCGCGCGCCACGCGTGTCCGCGCGCGCCCTCGCTCGCCACCATGTGCAGCGGCGCGCTCGCCGTCCCCAGCGCGCCCTCCACCGCCACCGCGCCCACCGCCCCCGGGAGAGGCGCGCGCATGGACGACAGCGGCGCGGAAGAGGCGGGGAAGGGGGAGGCGGAGCGCGCAGCGCCTGCAGGCGGCGATCGGAGAGGGTTCGGGAGGGGATGGGAAGAGAAAGAGGTGAGGGCGTGGAGAGAACGGATTGAGATCAGGAGGAGCCGGGCGGAGGAAGAAGGCATGAGGCATGCGCCACGGGCCATGGCGTGTGGTGGGGCAGCACGCGGAGTGACAGCCGAGGGGCATGTGGAGGAGGGGCGCGCGGTACCTCGTTGCAGCGTGGCGAGCAGCGCGCTGCCATCAAGGCGGTCAACAGCCACCAGCGCGCGCACGTACTCCGCCAGCGCGCCTGGCACGGCCTGCAGCTGTGCGCCTCGCCTCAAACGCGCGGATCGCCTCCTCAGGGTTGTGCCGCGCCATCTCCGCCAGCCACGCCACCTGCTCCCGCTTCCCCCGCCCCCGCCCTCCGCGCCGCTGCCACCCGCCCCAGCCGCCCGTGCTGGCGCTGCTTCCGCCGAAGGCGCTGGGGTAGGCTGCGGCGGGGCGCGCGGAGGTAAAGTGGCGCAGTGCGAGGCGGAGAAGCGGCGGGTCCGCGTCACCGCGCGCGCTGCTGCATGGCTGCCAGCTGACCCCCGCCCGCACGCCCTCACCCCCCGCGCATTCCCCCTGCCCCGCACGCACTCCGCGCAGCTGCTCTTCCCCCAAGCGCAGAAGCCGCCCCTCGCCCAACCTGCTTGGCGCGCTCTTGCGCAGCTCGTGCGCCCTACGGTGGGGGACGGTGGAGGGACAAAGGGAGGGTACGGCAGGGTTCGCCATGGTGGGAAGAGGCGGAGAACAGAGAGCGTTTGGTGACGTGCGAGTCGGAGAGGGAGGAAGGGGGGGCAGGGGGAAAGAGGAACGAAGGAGGAAAACGGTAAGGAGCAAACGATGGGGCAGCGGAGGGAGACGAAAGAGGCGGTTCGGTAAGAGGAGAGAGGTGTTGACAAAGCGGAGGGATAGGGGAAGGGAGGGGAGGAGAGGGTGGCAGGGCGCTGACCACTCTATGCATGGGCGCGCGTTGACGGCCGACGAGCGACGGAGGCTGACGGAACTACGACGGTGACGGCGAAGCTGACGGACGATACGTCTTCGAATTCAGGCGATTGACGGAAAGATGAACGTGAGAGTGGACGGCAGAGAGCACGTGCGCCCGAGGCGTGGGTGCGGTGCAATAGCGCGAATCGCGGGGAGTAGCGGAAATTGGGCAATATAGATCGTGAGCGTGGACTAATTTCAGTGTTGCGATGCGAGGCGGTTATGTGCCTGGCAGCACCGTGGTCACGTCCAACGATCAACGAGCGTCGTGGTACGGTGTGTAGGTGCAGCACAAGAGCACGAGTGCCAGTCAATGCGGCCTTCAAAATTTGGGGGAGGCGTGTTTGGTGAGGAAAGGTGTTGACGAGTGCACAGTTCGCCACTGTGTTGTGCGACGTGAGGCTCGCGAAAGGTGATCTTCAGGGTCGCACCTTTACGGTGGAGGTTGGTTGGGTCAAATAAAGCTACAGTACGTTCAAGTGCGGTATGGGGTCGAATTTTCACACTGCCTTACACTATTTTTCTCACGCTACAAGAAGGATCAAGTGTGTATTTTCGAACCCCACAACAGCGTGGAGCGAGTAGCGAAGTCATCAATAACGGATTCCCGGCATCATGAGAGCATTCAATACTTGCTAGACAACTCCACCATCACTCCCACCTCCCCCTCGCCGCGTTTGTCGCTTGCATTCCGACCGCTATGTCCGCGCTTCCCCTCGCCCGCGCGCACCAGCTTTGCGCGCCTCTCATTCCGCCATGCCTTTCTTCTCCCCCATATCTCCGCTCCGCCCCGCTACCGCCGCTCTCCGCCATCAGCGCGAGGTCCGCTCTGCCGTCGCCGCACTCCGCTTTCCCCTCTCCGCGGGGCGGCCAGGCGGTGCGCCATCGCGCTGAGAGCGCAGGCGGCGGCAGGCGCGGATGAGGGGAAGGAGTCGAGGGGCGGGGCGGGGGCGAGCGAAGCAGCGGGGGCGTGAAACGCGTGGTGGTGCTGGGCGGGGAGCGGACGCGTGGGGCGGTCGACGGCCGTGGCGCTGGCGGCGCTGACGGCGTCCGACGATGAGGCGACGCCGCGCGGAATTCCAACTGGAGCTGATAATCAGCGGGCGCAACAGGTGCGCGCGCGCCCGGAATGGCGCACTCTGCGCGTGGCGCTCTCTTGCGGAGCTCTGTCCGTGCTGCTTCTCGCCTGCGTGTGTACATGCGCGCATGGCTGCGTGTGTACATGCGCGCATGGCTGCATGTGTACATGCGCGCATGACTGCGTGTGGTACATGCGCGCATGACTGCGTGTGTACATGCGCGCATGACTGCGTGTGTACATGCGCGCATGACCTGCGTGTGTACATGCGCGCATGACTGCGTGTGTACATGCGCGCATGGCTGCGTGGTGTACATGCGCGCATGGCTGCGTGTGTACATGCGCGCATGGCTGCATGTGTACATGCGCGCATGACTGCGTGTGTACATGCGCGCATGACTGGCGTGTGTACATGCGCGCATGACTGCGTGGTACATGCGCGCATGACTGCGTGTGTACATGCGCGCATGACTGCGTGTGTACATGCGCGCATGACTGCGTGTGTACATGCGCGCATGACTGCGTGTGTACATGCGCGCATGGACTGCGTGTGTACATGCGCGCATGGACTGTCTGTGCCCCTGCTGCTGCCTGCCGCCATGTGCGCCTCTCCTCCACTCGCCACTCACTCCTTCTTCCGTCCGCTCTCGTCATTCCCCACCCCCCATCCGCCCCCAACCCACCCGCCCACCACCCTTTTATGCGCGCTTGCTCACGCGGGCGCATCTGTGTCGCAACGGAGGCGAGGCAGGGGGAGGGGCGAGGCGGTGTGTGAGGAGGTGAGGGCGGCAGCGGGGGCGGCAGGGAGTGCGACGTTCATAGAGTGCGACATCACCGACGCCTCTGCACTTGACAGCCTCCTCTCAGGTGCCCCGGGTGTCACGTCTCCCATTGACCATGGCCGCGCCGTGCACTCAACCCCCTCCTCTCATGTCGCCCTCTCAGGTCGCCCTCTCAGGTCGCCCTCTCAGAGTCGCCCTTCAGGTCGACCGCACAGCTCCGACTCTCACAGCTCCGACTCTCACAGCTCCGACTCTCACAGCTCCGACTCTCACAGCTCCGACTCTCACAGCTCTGACTCTCACAGCTCCGACTCTCACAGCTCCGACTCTCACATCTCTCTCCCATGGACCACGCCGTGCCTGCCCATGCCATTCTCTCCCATCCTCTGCCTCTGCCGCTGCTGCTGCCTCGCCCTCTCCCTATCCTTCCCCATTTTCCCGTGCCTCTCCCCATTCTTTAACCCTCACCCCCCCAACCGGTCTGCATCACCTCCTACTCTCTCCATCACCTCCCTCCCCCTTTGCTCCCCCGCCCCGCCCCGTCCTCTGCCTGTTCGCAGGAGCCGACCTCGTGGTGCACTGTGCGGGGCCCTTCCAGCAAGAACCGAACTGCACCGTTCTAGAAGCAGCCATCCGCACCAAGGTGGGCTGCCTGCCTCTCAGGCCTCTTCCTCCTCTCTCCCCTCCACACACCCTACCACACCGCTCGCTTGCGGTGCCCATCACCTGCCCCGTGCTGTCATAGCGCAATAGTTCTTCTCTGCCAATCTCCTCCATTTAACCCCTCTTTCCCCTCCCCTCACCCCCCCCGTCCCCCCCAGACGCCGTACGTGGACGTGTGAGGACGGCGTGACGTTTTTTTCCAGTCGACTCAAATATCGCCATTCACCCCCTCTCCCCTCTCCCAACATTCCCCTCCCCCAGACGCTATACGTGGACGTGTGTGACGACGTGGCGTTCGCTGGGAATACGCGGGGGAGAAGATTCGACGTGCCTCCCTTAACGCCCTCTCCTTACTCTCCCAATTAACCCACCCCTCCTCCAGACGCCCTACGTGGGACGTGTGTGACGACGTGGCGTTCGCTGCCAACGCGCGCTCGCTGCACGGGGCTGCAGTGGCGGCGGGTTGATGCCGGCCATCACCACCGCCGGCATCTACCCGGGCATCAGCAACTGTGCGTGGGGTCAAGGAGGCGGGCGGGAGTGAGATGTGCAGCAAGTGGGATGTCGGGGGATACATGGGTTTGGCGAGGGGAAGGAGGGGAAAGCTGCCGTGAGGCGTTGTGGGGTGGGGGGGACCACGGTTCGTCTGTCTCATGCTCCATCCGACGTGCAATTCCGACGTCCAAACCACTGCTTGTTGCCACGCTACGTGCGTGGTCCATCCATCCCAAGGCCACCGTGCCATTCCCTGCTCTCCTGTGTCTCCTCTCTGCAGTGATGGCAGCGGAGCTGGTGCGGCTAGCGGGGGAGGAGGGGGCGCGCATGGAGGAGCAACAAGGCCAGCAGCAGGCCGCCCTCGGCCTTCGACCAAGAGCCTGCGGTGCCACCACTCTCTCTCTCTCACTCACTCACAGGCTCACTTCACCGTCTCACTCACCACGCTCACATCGCTCACACACTCACTCACCTCACCTGCACTGCACCCACCAAGTTCCATCTTTATCATGTCGTGTCGTTTCTCTGCACCTGTCTCCTCTCCTGCACCGTCGCATTCCTCTCACCCACTCCCCTCCCCCATGCCCCTCGCTTCTCTTCTCTCTCATCTGCCCACCAAAAACGTCCCTCCCCCTCTCCCCAGCTTGTCGTATTTCACGCGCGGCACGGGGGGGCGGGTTTCACCATCCTGACCACCAGCCTGCTGCTGCTGGGGGAGCCTGCCACGGCCTTCAAGGACGGTGAGGTGGGGGGAATGGGGTTTATGGGGGAAAAGATGGGGGTGTAGGAGGAAGTGAATGGGGGATGAGGGCAGTGCTTTAAAATGCATTGGAGAAGGAGGAGGAATGGGTGGAGCGGATGTGGGGAGTGAAGTGTGGAGGGGAGAGAGTGGGATGGAAGGAGGGCATCAAAGGGTTGCTCACCTTGTATTATTCTCCCGGCCCCCCCTGCTGCTTCCCCCTGCTCGCTCCTGTGCCTGAGGTGCCTCACTCACCCCGTGCCCTCCTCGTCTTGCCCTTCCCTCCCCTCCCCCCTCTCCCCGCCAGGGCAGCGCCTGCAGCTGCCAGCGTACAGCCGGCAGCGTCTGGTGGACTTTGGGCCGGGCGTGGGGGAGAGAAGCACGTACCTGCTGTGAGTGAGGGCGTGGGGGAGAGAAGCACGTACCTGCTGTGAGTGAGGGCGTGGGGGAGAGAAGCACGTACCTGCTGTGAGTGAGGGCGTGGGGGAGAGAAGCACGTACCTGCTGTGAGTGAGGGCGTGGGGAGAGAAGCACGTACCTGCTGTGAGTGAGGGCGTGGGGGAGAGAAGCACGTACCTGCTGTGAGTGAGGGTGTGGGGGAGAGAAGCACGTACCTGCTGTGAGTGAGGGTGTGGGGGAGAGAAGCACGTACCTGCTGTGAGTGAGGGCGTGCCTTGCCTTGCGTTGCCTTGAATTTCCATACCCGTTGCCTTGTCATGACTGTGATGAACATATGCCTACAGCAGCTGTCACCATTGCTCCTTAGGCCTCTGCCTCGTCTCTCTGCGCTCTTCCCTCGCTCCTCTCCCGCTCCTCCCCCTCCTGCCTCCACCTCCCCATTCAGCAATCTACCGGAGGTGGTGTCAGCGCACGAGGTGCTGGGGGTGCCCACGGTGTCGGCGCGCTTTGGCACGGCGCCACACATGTGGAACTGGGGCATGCAGCTGCTGCACGCCCTGGTGCCTCAGGTGCATGCTCTGCTCCCTGCTGCCCTCCCTGTTGGGAAGGTGGGAGACTGGACGCTGCACTGTATGCTCACACCACCCCTACCCATCACTCACCCTCTTCCCGTCCCCCGCCCCTTTCTCCTCCTCCCTCGGGCCACATACTCACCAGGCCGTGCTGCATGACCGCAGGGCAGTGCAGCGCATGGTGGGCGCGTTGGAGCCGCTGGTGCGCGCTGCATGCTCACACCATCCCCATCCATCACTCCCCTCCTTCCCCCCCCCCCCCCCCCGCCCCGCTGCCGCCACACACCTGCCGCACATGTGCATGGACCGCAGCGCGTGCGCGCGCATCGTGTGGGCGCGTTGGAGCCGCTGGTGCGCGCTGCTGATGGCAGCGCGGGAGAGAGGGTCGCCATGCGGGTGAGGAGGGGGGGTTTGGGGGAATGTGACTTAGCGGCGGTGCATTCCATGAGCGACCCCAGAATCCATGCTTCCTCCTTTTCCCTCCCTTCCCCCTGTCTATCTACTCTCTATTTCTCCCCTTGACACCCCCCTACCTTCCCCACTCGGTCCCCCTCCCTCCTTCCTCCTCGCGCCACTACTCCCCCCTCGTCCCCTCTTCTGTGTGCCACATGTGTCAAGGTCGATTTGGAGACCGAGAATGGTCGCTCCACAACGGCTCTGTTCTCTCACCGCCGTTTATCAGTGTAAGCTCTCATCACTGGAAGTGTTTATCCGTGTGGATTTTTGGCAGTGTAAACTCTTATCAGAGTGAGTGCTTATCAGTTTGGTTGCTACTAGTGTGAGGGCAGGGGGTCCACCCAACAGCGTCACATCAACATCAATATCATGTCAAGGAAACTAAACATCAACATGTCATGGACCTTTCTGCTGCTCCCCTCACACTAACTCCCCCCTGCACCTCAACCGTCCCTCCCCACCCCCCTGAGTGCCCCCCAGGAGTGTGGGCGTGGCCACAGCAGCGTTTGCTGTCGCCCTGCTGGAAGGCACGTCCCTGCCAGGCGTGCACTACCCCGAACAGGTATGCCGTTCATGCACAACCCTCCTCCAATGCGCTGCCTTCCTCCATTGCACAAGCCTCCTCTAATCCACCCACTGCATATCTGAGTCTCGTTCCCCACGTGCTCCTGGTTCCATCGTGTGCCTCTGTGCATTTTGCCCGGAGGAGCAAACAGGTTGAGGCCATCCCAGTGGTGCAGCGAGAGAAGCTATTGCAACGCGCCACTCTGGGCGCACGGTTCTTTGCCATCAACAAGTGAGTGCACTCTGGGTTGTGACGTCCCCATGCTCTCAAGCTCTCAACTCTCACACTCTTGAGTGGTGCATGTGTTGGATGAGTGCTGCTTGCACCTGCTCACTGACTGACCGACCGTGTGTTTGTTCTGTGCAGGCCCGGTTGGATGATTGAGAGGGAACCCAAGCAGATTGGCATGGGTATGTACGTATGATGCATGAAGGACGCTTGTGCAAGCCGCCTCATCACATGTGATGTTGTAGTTTGTTTTTATTCCTGAATCTTTCATCATGTCAATAATGTATTTCCCTCACAACGACATTTTAAAAATCCCGTTGTTAGCAAAGAGACCCTGGAAAACTACCTATGCACACATGCCTAACATTTCTCGCATAG